ATCTGAACTGTGATAGTGTTCTCCTAGTAGCTCTGTCTATTTCCTGCAGCTCTGTTTTGGACCATTTCAAGACTCCGTATGTGTGCGCCAGGACAGGAATTACTTATTGACTGCTGCAATCTTCTGTCTGCCCGGTAAGTATGTTTTATAAACGATTTTCACTCTCTTTAAGTGAGTATTTTTCATTCTGGTCTTCATTTCCTTATCCTTGATCTGCCCCCTTTATAACATTCCAAGATATTTGTATGCAGATGTTTTTAATGTCTCTATCTCTGTACCATCCATTAGTGTAACATTGACATGACTTATCAGCTTACCTTTTTTGTAGCGTACAGTAGTACATTTAGATAAGCCAAATTCCATATGGATTGATTTGCTGAAACGGGATACCAATTCCAACAGATTTTGAAGCTGCTCGGGGTTAGTTGCATATACCTTAAGATCGTCCATGCACATAAGATGATTTAGTACTACTTTGTTTCGCTTGGTGATCTTGTAGCCTAGGTTGCTGTTTGAAAGTATCTTATTCAAGGGGTTTAGGCCAAACAAAACCAGACCGGACTCAGGCTGTCGCCCTGGAATATACCTCGGTTGATCTTTATGGTTCTCGTTTCGTATGTTTGTTTCGGTCCAGCCACAATTAGTTTTGTATTCCATTAGTATTATTATTATTATTTATTTAGGTTAATTATTATTTATTTAGGTATATTCGGTTTTTGCCGATCTTAATAGCCTACCATACCTGTTGGTATGGTCGGCTAAAAATTAAGAAAGGAGTATGTTATCCACGTATTCATGTATGGTGGACGAAATTAGGGACCTAAAGTGGGTATTCCTGACAGTTCTGTTTGACGTTTCACTTCACACATTTGAATTTGATTTGAAATTTTGTGGATTTGTTTGTCTTTACTGGGCTTATTTTATGTTATTTATTATTTATTCTACAACTGGTAGTTGTTTAGAGAAAGTAAATCTACGGAAAGAAATTGTGTCAGAACTTAAATTAACAGTGACGCTATTGCGATTTATCAAAAAAGACTCTAAAATAGTTGGTTTGGTTAGGTTTGGTTGGTGTAGCGTGCGGCAGCAAAATCAAGGGATATAATGGAATCATTTTTTACTGGTAAGTTCAAAACTTCACTTAAAATTAACTAATTATATATTTTTTCTTGCATTTTCGCCTTTATTTACTACTTGTCAAAAATAATTTATATACGTCAATTTGACTTATCCGCTTGGATGTTTCTGTTAATAAATAATTATTATAACTTATGTATTTTTATTAGAATTATATATTTTTATAGTAATTTTAATATCTACCATTTTTTATTGCCAATGTAAAATAAAACAACAAAATAATGAGTTTTATTGAGTCTACTCTACATCATATTTTTACATGTTGTGAATAAAATTAGAATGGCACTGCATAGAAATTTAAGTCATGCCCTAGACACTCAATGGTAATTTTATAGAACTCCAAATTTAGTTTCTTCGGCATCGCCAGGCGGCGCAAAAGACATTAAAGTACAGGTTTCTAATTTATATATGAAGATGACATGACAGTCCCTATGTTGACTATTGTCTATGGTCTAGTTTTTGTCTAGTTGACAAAATGTTGGTGATCCGTCAAGTTAATTTTAAATCATTATTTAAATAATTATTAATTCAGATATTCCTAATTTGTCGCAAAGTTCGGTGATTTCAGTGATTTGTGTTTATAGTTTGTTTTTATTAGTTTGTGCATTCTGATATTTAGAGTCGATCATCATTTTCGTGTTAGATACTAAAACTTTTTTATAAAGTCATTTGGACATTTTAGAAATGATAAATTTATGAACCAAATAAAAAAAAAATAGTTTAATCATAAATAAGTAAGTACATAGTTGGTAATGTATAGTATTTTTAGTAACAGTTATAATTAGTAGTCTATAATATTTTTGCTATATTATAATTTATTTGTTAAATCAAATAATAGGCACTATGTGCTCTATTGTTGGTGTTTAAAATGTATGTATGTATTTTAATTTTGTTTTAATTATGTTACACTTCTAATGATCTAATAAAACATAAAATGGCAGTAAAAAAATCTATATTTATTATTTTATATTTTACAAGGAATAATTTTGCGCATGAATAACGATCCCGTTTTAGTTAGCGTTAATAAGTAACGGAACGTTAAAATTATGTTATGCCAAAACTCTCCATTAGTTTCTTCCGGATCACCAGATGGCTCTAAATGACCAACCCATTTGTTTTATATCAGTGTCCAATCTATCTCTAGTACATGACATTAGTCTATGATTTAAGTCGACCATTTAATGATATGCTCCTTCCTTAATCTTTTTATTCAAAGCATCAAGTAAACGGCTTTATGTTGGTAGTCATGGCAAATGATGCCAGTTGTCATAAGATTTTTCTTTGTGAGATATCTGTCATTATCAATTATATAATTTTTTGACATTCAATTTTATTCGCAGTTTTCCATAGATAAAGGAAATAAATTTAGATTGGAATGCTCGGCTTCCCGCTAAAACGTATAATTGTTTTGGGTTGCATACGTTGTAGGGATCTGGCGCTGCTATAACCGTTGTTAAGAACAACCGCAAACAAGAACAGAACGAATTTTCTCTTGTCAAAGTCAGAACCTTCAAAAATTATAAGTTTTTCAAAATTTAAACCGCCCGCATTGAAAAAATGCCGAAAAGTGTTTAAAGCGTCCATTTTCAAAGTAATTATTGCTATCTCGTAAAATTAATTTAAATTTTATTTACTCAAACCCTTGATAATTGTGAAAAAGTGACAGAACCAAACCAAAAACTTAAGCTTAGTGAACTGTGAACTGCAAAAACCATCATGGCATAACATCGGTTTCCAATGTTCCATAGGTATTTCATACATGTCCTTATATAAAATAAAGTTTCTTATATGCAACACACTGTTTTATTTGTAAAATTAAAAGAAACTAATAATAGCTTTGTTTGGGTTTTTTCTTGAACCGCCCTAGAACGGTGATACGCATGCGCAGAAGCAAACTGTTTTTGAACCTTTTTTGGATTCTCAATTAGATCAAGTTAGATGTTCGGGTTATAACGCGGACGGTTCTAGGACTAGAAAAAACAGTTCAAATTTGATCCTAGCTTGGCAGCAAGAATCGTTTTAATACATCTGAATAAATAATATATTTGACGACATAATTCCGGAAAAACCCGAACCGCTCTGAAATCATCAAAAGCTTTGGGTCGCGACGGTTGCAAGAACAGCGCCAAATAGTATTTACATTGTCGTTATGGGCACTTTCCAATCTAAACTTGTTTCATTTATCTATGCAGTTTTCTTTGATAAATTCGAAATTAACTCTGGGTTTTGTTTAGCTAAAACTACGATTTTTATTGCAATAAAATGCCAAAATCACTAAATATTCGAATTCGGCAACTTCTCTCGTCTCTACTCAATTATCTTAAATAAGAAAAAGATCGCGGCGAATCCTTTTTGCCGTTAACTTGCGTTAGAGAGGTAAAAATTGATATTGTTACTTAAGTTTAGCGGCTTTTTATTGAAAATACATAGATAACTATTTGTGTACAGCTATGCTCATATCAGTTTACAGACTGTGAGTACAGTACGTCTGTCCGTTCTGTAGCTACGGGGTATCCGTGAGAGGGGAAACGATATTCTCTCGATGTTTTTCGTAAAAAATTAGACGACGCGTCCCATCAATAAAAATTCGACAAATTTGCAAGTAGCCAATAAAATGAGTGGGCGGAGCGATTTGCGATGACGTACTCGTCAAGTCGACGTATAAAATATACCTACTGCTGTTTATTTAAATGTTTTTTGTCCGCATTCCTTTCATAGACATAGATCCAGCAGACGTACTGTATATAGAATCTCACAAAAATGAAGACTAACGTTAACCAACTAGAACTTTACATTTTTCATCTTTTATTCAGAAAACTTGCTAATTACTTAATTTATACAGGGTGGTCCAAATTGTATTCCGGAAACTTCGGCAGCGTATTCTGCAGATAAAAACAAGTAAAAAAGTTCGTATAAATGTATGTCCAAAAAAGGTTTACTTTCGGAGATACAGGGTGTAGAAGTTTCATTTTTATTTCGATTTTCTCCAAATAATTTCTGAAGTAACGTCAATATTTGGATAAAAATTCTGGCGTCTGGGCGTTTTTTGACATGTTTTGTTTACTCTTCAAAACAGTTAATACACATGTAGGTGGCGCCCCCTACAAATAGGAGTAATATTGACATCAAAATCAAATTTCTCATGTCAAAAAACTCCCAGACAGCAATTTTTATCGAAATATTGACGTTACTTCGGAAGTTAAATAATAAATATGAAACTTCTACACCCTGTATCTCCAAAACTAAGCATTTTAGGGCATACATTAATACGAAGTTTTTTACTTGTTTTTATCTGCAGAATATGCTAGTGAAGTTTCCGGAATACAGTTCGGACCACCCTGTATAAATGATGATCTATGATCTCGCCCCTTTCTCTTCTTATCCAATAAGTTAAGAGCCTTAAGTTAAGTTGAGCCAGCCCTGAGACTATGATGAGTTATAACTCAAGAAAGGGGGATACACAATAGATATGTAAGGTCAAGGTGATGCCACACCTCCCATACATTCTAAATTGCCTCTATATACAGATTGTTAATTGGACAGATACTTATAGGGGAACAGAATGGCAACACTGCCTATTTAGAACGCATGCACTTATAGGGTTGTCTGCCGACTCGTCCCGTCGCGTCGTCTATCGACGAGCGGGCCGAGGTTGCCATATTTCGACCATAAAGCTCTTACCGCGAGTAATAAACAAATTAACAACCTGTATATGAAAAATCTTAAAAAACCTATAAGCTAACTATAAATGCAATTAAAGTTTTCCTTAATTATAAGTATAAAAATCTACCAAATAAAGAGATGGAATAAATGGCATGCAATAAAAATGTAAAAAGGAATAATCTTTCAATTAATACACTTACCTTTATTAGTAAATGGGATAGGATCTGGATAAAACCAAGAGGGACCTGGATCATTAGGAAACGTTGTAGTAAATGAACAGCTGGGCTTTGAAGATTTTACCTCGTTAAAAGGAGCAATTTTTTCACATGGGTGATTCTGATTTTCACAGTAATTTCTATTATCATTTAATCCATTATTCCTAGAATATATAAAAAAGGAATTTTAACTAGAATTTCATATATATTAGTTTCAGTTCAATTACTTACAGCAAATCATATTGATAATCTGTTTTTAAAGATTGGTTTGGTATCTAAAATAAAAATTAAAATAATTAACTTATTTTTGATGATTAAATCATTGTTCTAAAATACACTAAGGGGGCCATTAACTGCTCGAGGAAATCAAGGGGGGAGGGGAGGGGGTGGTTAAAAAATCCTCAAAAACGCCTTACATAATTTATGGAAGCCCCCTAAGATCAGATTGTTGCTAGGTGTCGGGAGATTTTTCTTTGACAAATTTGAAATTAAATCGGGGTTTTGTCTAGTTAAAACTGCAATTTTCATTACAATAAAATGCCAAAACCACTAAGGGTGGTTGCAACGACGTCCTGTCATACTACTGTTAAAACATAAGTGCTGGTTTTAATATATAGAAAGCAGTTGTTTTATTTTAACAGCAGGATTACGGGAGGTCGCTGCAGCCACCCTAAATAGTCGGAATCAACAACTTGTCTCGTCTCTACACAATTATTTTGAACAGGATAAAGACTATGGTGAGCCACTTTTGCAGTTAAATTACGCTATAAAAATTGATGTTGCTTAAATTTTGTAGCTTTTATTGAAAATATCTTCTAGCTGGTTTCAGCTGTGTGCAATATCAGTTTATGGACTGTGAGTAGAATCTCATAAAAAGTTCGGATTAATGTTAATTAATTATAACTTTACATTTTTCAGCTTCTATTTAGAAAACTCGTTAATAACTTTATTTAATTAGATTATATTTCAATAATAATCATAGACAAAGTAATAATGTAGATATAAAATAAATATTTGTATATGTATTGTATCTATGTAACCTATATTATCTTAAATTGAAGTATAAAATCGGCAGCAAAATTACAAATTTTATTTGACACTCAAAAATCAAAGTACGTTCAAGTAAAGAAAGTGACCTTAGCAAAAAAAAATTGACGATCCACGGATCCACGCCAACTTTTATTGATTTTCCTATAGGTATATTTTTGAAATTCTTTGGACAGTAAAATTTAACAATAAAGCCCCGTTCTCAGAACGTCGTCGTGTCGCCAGCTACACTAATGGACACTTCAAACGACTAATGGGAGCTGTACAAAATTCAAACAGCTATCAATTTTGAATTTTGTGCAAATCTCATTGGTTCTTTTGACGTGTCACTTGACAATACGAAGTTCTGAGAACGGGGCTTAACATATTTTATTATCTAGCCTTGCCTTAGTTGGTGAAGCCACTAAAAATTGCTTATTGCCATTGTTATCTGTGAAATTCTTTATTCTAAGTTTTAGAGGAACCATATTTTGATCTTGAACCTAAACAATTTAACATCAAATTTCCTGTCTTGTGTCAAATCTTTAACTTACCCCTTCTAATTCTCCATTGGTTAAAGGTACATTTGTAGAAAATAAATTACTATCAGCTTGTTTTAGTATTTTATTATTATTATCTGTCGTTTTCTCAAGCCCATTTTCTTCACATTTCCTTTTCTTTAATACATTTTCCTGAGATAATTTATTAAACAATAGCATTGCAGTTATTTTTCTCCTTTTTGGTATAGGGCCTAAAGTAAAAAGACATCTCTAAATCATAGTAATACATAAACACATATAAATGATTACCTAGGATTCTAAGTAACTTTAAAATTTCTGCATTGGATACATTTTTAAACAAACCCCTTAATAAAAAACAGTCGTATTTAATGTCTTCTGAATCATTTTGTTCTGAAACGTCTTTATCAACTAAAAAATGCCTTAAAGCAAACAGACAACGATTATTAACTTCCGATAGGGGTATGCTGGATCTTAAAAATGTAAATATTTCGCTATAAGATACGTCTTCTACTATATCTTGTATCTTGAAAGCTTCTGCTCGCAGTTCGAAGGAATCATCATTTAACATTTCCTAAAAAAATAAGGACTTATCAATGTAGAAAAAATTAAAACGTAAATAAAAACAAACCATTTTAGACGTTACTTTCAAAAATCAGATAAACACTAGACTGAATACTGAATTATAGAAAAATATATAATCGTAGCACTTTTCAAATAAATCTCTGATATAAACTAAAACAAAATTGGGAAAAACAAAATTCTTGTGTAAATTTTGACAACGTGCGCAGATCTTGGCGTAGATGAAGAAAAACAGAGGTAGCGAAGTTCAATGAACCACCGCGAAGTTAGCGATATGGAGTGTAGAGGTAGGTAGCAATATATCACATGTCAAAATTATATATGAATAATAATTTTATATGATTTTGATTTAAACAAATTGTAATTTCTTGCAATTTTTTAACATTTCCGCAAGCATTTCCGGTAAAGGTGTGGATCCGGTGGCTGACCTTGAAACAAGTTTTTGTTGCATATCATATACTCACTTATACTACGCATGCGCACATCGTCGATGTTGTCAGATTGCAGGTTATTACGGAATCATTTTCAGTAGAAAAAAATTATCTTTTTTTCAGTGCTGTCAACATATATATGTTATACAGTATACGTATTATTTACAGTATACGTATTATTTACTGCCAGAGATAGATTATTACGGATTATTACTGATAACGCTCAAAAAAAACATTTGTTTTTAACTGCAAATGATTCGAAAATAAACTGCAATGTGGCAACGTCGCCAATGTGCGCTTGCGTAGTATCGATGATCAAATGCAGCAAATATGGGTCGCGTTCATTAGGACAAGTTGATCAGTGAGCGATGTACCATCGATTGGTTGTCCTGCTGAACGTGCTTTTTAGATCAAAATCATAAGTAAGGCATATTAAATTGTTTTCACCTATTTTTGGCACAAATCGAGGGGATTAGTCAACCGAGAACAATAAACAAAATGCTTTGTTTTCGTTTTCCAAAACATTTTGTGACATTTGGAGTATGTGACGTTTAATCCATCAATGCATCGGTAGCGTAGCGTATTTTAAATCTGATGGAAAAAATGGCGACTGATCCCAGAGCGCTCACAACTAATCGGCGCGTTCAGCAGAAAATTAGTGATCGCTGCGGTAGCGCTACGTCCTGATGAACGCGACCATGGGCTTCAAGGTCAGCCACCGTTTTAATTTCTCATAAGAAGAATTTCTGTCAGGGAGATTCCAACCTCCAGACATTACTGTCAAATCATGTCAAATGTCATATCCATAAAGTCATATCTATGGTCATATCCATAGACAAGGTCAAAGGTCAAGCCAAGTCTTCTGAGTCAAAGCCTCAAGCCTCGCCTTATTTATGATCTATCAGAAAGTGATGAGATACAGTGCATATTTATTTTTATAAATATTAACAAAATAATATCGCTTGATACTTATTTATAAATATGCCGGTAATATGGTTTTTATAAACGTCTAATTTTTAGTTTCATAGTCCTTATGAATCTTATTTCAGGCTTATCATTCAAGTTTCCCAGCTCCTAAAAAAGTTATAGGCAATACGGCTATTCTACCTTTTAAAACAAGCTTTAGAGGTCCTGCCCCTCAACAGTTAAGCACAGATCAAGATATTATAGATGAAGCTCTTTATTATTTCAAAGCCAATGTTTTTTTCCGAACCTATGAGATAAAGGTATTTAATTCCACACTTAAAATTATAACATATTTTTTTTTACAAATTCATTATTTTAGTCTGAAGTCGATCGTCTGCTCATTTACATAACTTTATACATAACTGAATGTTTGAAAAAACTTCAAAAGTGTTCAAACAAAAGCCAAGCGCAAAACGAAATGTATACTCTAGCTATTTCAAGATTTGACATTCCGGGAGATGCAGGTTTTCCTCTGAATTCCGTATACAGGTAGTTATATAAATGTAGGGTCAAGTGTGGTGTAAAAATGAGACCTTTTTTCAAAACTTAGTTTAAAAACTATCCCCTAAAAAGTCAGAATGCAGAAAACAGTGTCTCATATTTAACCTATAAAAAGTCTAAAAATTAGAGAGGCTGTGTAAAATATAAGACAAAATCCATGTTTAAAGGCCCTGCTATCATTTATATTAAATGCTAAAAGGATAAAAATTACCTCTTTTTTATTAGTAGAACTCAAATAAAACAATCTATGAACGCTTACTACTTCATACTGATGTTACCATACTGACAAAAGTCTGGTAGTCAGTTTCAAAAGTTTTAAACCTCAAAACGAGAAAATGAATTTGTAATTTTAGTTTTTCCCATGATTCATCGCACTAAGATTTAACAAATTCTGGGGATGATTTCTTAACAATTATTGTTAAGTGTTCCTAACAAGAAAATTAACCGTATAAGTTTTCAGAAGTTTTATTTGGATGTCTCATTCTTTACCTAAATATGAAGTGTCTTATTTTTACACCATTTAGCTCATGTCCCAGGCTGAGCGTGCATTAGAAGTTTCTAGAGAACTATAATATCTAGATCGGAAATTTTTTGTACATCATTGTTTCATAATGAGATCTATCGATTAAAAACATTTTCAATGTGGCGTCATTTCCGAAAAATGAAAAAGACATTTTTTATTACATACTTAAATTCTTTGTAAAATTTTATGAATTTTGATATGAAACACTCTATACTTAACAATAACCGTTTTTGAGAGAATAAAATAGAATTTTTGAAGGAAAAAAACTGCCTAAACGTAAAATTTAGTGAATTTAGTGATAACTACAGCCACTGTGACAGAGATCACATGTGGCTATCTATTTCAAAAATTAAATTATTCGAATGTCAAATAATACTGGTCATAGCTGTCATGGAATTGAGTGATTAAAAAATTATCATAATTTTTTTTTTTCAAATGGAAACCTGCTTTTTTATTTCACAATTCATTCATTTTTCGAATTGAAAAAGGTTTTTCAATTCGTTACTTATTGATTATACATGATCCTACACCTAAAATAATGCTTTTTTAAGTTATTTAAGATTTTGTTTTAAAGCATATTTTTTTTAGGTTTTATCTAGCTTCCTTTGACATTAAAAGTCAAACAGTCAGACAATTTATTTCCTTCAGTCAGAAAACTAAAAACTAACTTCGAATTTCGTATATTATAAATACTGCTTGCATAAAACTTTGTAAAGTGTATTTATAAAAATATATCTCGTATTTTCGCACTTGTGATATCTAAAAGTGGATATTATATATTGTCCTATTGCTGCCAAAAGTCATTAACTGACATTTTTCCGAATAACCTGAAAATTCAATAACTAACTATATATTGAAGCGGAGAATCGATTGAAACAGTCAGTAACTACGATTTCTGGCTATTTATGCTGTATTTTAATACAGAATAGTCACTAATAACAACTTTATGCAATGTAATTAATCTTTAGACGCGGTTTTCTCGGAAGTAATAAAAAGTAAGTTAGTGACTTTTGGCAGCAATAGGACGATATATAATATACCGTATGGTCGAAAAAACGGCGTAAAGTAGGCTTGTAAATGCGATCGATGACATACTGATTTTTTTAACAAAGTGTCATAATATGACATGGCCAGATATATTGTTTGACATCGCTTGACTTTTAAAGTCATAGGCTACTGGTTAAAATCAAGAAAAATATGCGCTTTAAAATTAAATATTAAATTTATTTATTTATTTATTTATAAACATGTACAATTATTATTGTTCTGCAGATATCATACTTTCACTTTTTTTTCAAATATCGATATATTGAATGATGTAGATCTTTTGAGTTACCAATAGTTACCAACAAAGGTAGTCACAGTTACAGGGAGTTCAAGCTTAACAGGTGAATGGCCAAAAAGATTCATTTCAATTGGATAGTATAAAAACAAAACAATTCCATCAAAAGGCACTGAGTTTAAAAAATTGTCTTAGATACTTACTATATAAGAATTTACAATTACCGAGTGTTAAAATTAAAATTAAAGTATCTATCTTATTTATTACTTTTAAAATAAAATATATTTTTTTTAAATAAATTATAGAGGTTGTCACAAGATTACAAATTAATTAAAAAAAACTGCTAAAGAGTTTTTTGATATCATAATTTTATGTATTTGGCAATAGTTTACAATACGGCTTTTGTGTGTCATGTACGAATAATATCATAGTTTTATTATCTTGTATTTATTTATTAATAAATTAAGTTGTTAATAAATAAATAAATTTAACCATATAGTTGCTATATATTAGACCATTTGCTACGGTGTTAGATTTTAAGTCCCAAACATTGCTCTTGAGAATTTGTCCCGCTAGAATAACATCCGCCGCACTGTGGAGCGCTGGTCAGCGCGTGACGTAGCATTCCACGGCGGCTACGACAGCGGCGATTTGACGCGATCGAACAGTCCTTTAGAATATATACAGTCCTTGCATCCAGCCCTACACACAGATAATTTATTTATCTCTGTAGGAGTTACAATGTATTATTATTATTTTGTAATTTTTGTTTCTGGAAATAAATTATTATTATTAATATTATATAATCAGATTAAATAATTTAAAAACCCAGATTTGTGACTTGAAATTATTTTAAATAATAATTAAATAGTTTTGTTGTTGTTAAGGTACCCCAAAAAAAAATTAAAGTATAAAGTGTGGCATATCATTGTACTCAGGAGACCGAGTTCTTTCAAAACCTGAAATAAAAAATGCAGGTCCGTATTTAAAAAAATTAAGTTGGCCGCTGTATCTCACAAATTATCATTACCAGATAGCCCTAATAAAGTGGCTATGAGAATGTGCAATTAGTTTTTTGATGTTCTAAAAAGTAACGACAGGAAAAAATAAAATTGATTTTTAAAAAAATCCGTTTTTCTCAAAAAACTCAGCAATCCTTGAAATTTTTAAAACTTTTTTGATGGCATCTTGGTGAACAGCCCAAAGCGCAACTTTACCCCAATTTAACCATGTTCGTGTCCATTACGGTTACCGAGATACTCATTCTTGTACCTCGAATTTGTAGCACTCTGTATAGATGTTGTAGTCTAGAAACTTCTAATGCACGCTCAGCCTAGGACACCCTGTATGCTGTACTCTTTTTTGTAGTAAGCCTAATGATGGAAAAGAGGTGGATTTTTTAAAAGCTTATCTAACTCAGCTACGACAAGAAATAGGTCTTAGAGTTTGTGAAAAAGTTTTCGGTGAAAGTGGAAAGCCGAGCAAATGGTGGTTATGTTTTGCCAAAAAAAAGTTTATGGACAAATCGCTGTCTGGCCCAGGCCAGTAATATATTTTTTAGATTTTGTTACAAATTATTAATTAAAGTATTCCTATTTGTTAAGACATTATTTTTATTTTTTGCTGACAGAATATAACATTTAACTACATTTTTTATGAATTATAAGTTTTAATAACTGTATTTTAGCATTAAAATGATATCCATGTGAAATATATTTATAGTTTGATATAAGTATTTTTATTAAATAAACAACTGGTTATTATTAAAAAGAGCTTAAGATTTTTTTTTATTCATTCTAATTATATTAATATTATGGCAAGAGTCATTTGTAGAGGTGGGAATTCTAGTTCCTTATTTCTAATTCCTCTAGAGGAATAGTTCCTTGAATTAGGTCTTTAGTTCACAATAGTTCCCGACTAACATTGACATCCCCGTTGCTTGCTAATGGGTTTCGTTGTCAGTCAGAACTATTCACAGTATGATCTGTATAATTTTTATAATGTTCGAAATATAACGAGACGTGTATAATTATGTATATTTAAAACATAGAGCTAAGTTTTATTGCAGATAAAAAAAATTAAAAAAGAAACTCAAATCAGAGTTTAAAAAACTATATCACAAATCAATTGGAGCAAATAATACGAAAATTGCATTTTTCCTCACTTCAAACTTTTTTGTTTTTGGCTAAAAATTCAGAATATCTACTTCGTTTTATAAGATATTTCTTAATTTTAGGGAAATAAATTGAAATGTTCCCATAAAATATTCAAAGAACAAACTAAAAATCAAAAACAGTATCCACGACAATTTTCTGTGGTGATTACGCCGGCGCGACTGTGGCAATAGTCAAGGCCGAATCCATCGTCGTTGCCTTGTACACACTTGTGTACACACTCCTGCCTAGCATCGATCGCGCTGGTCGATCCGTACGTAAACTAGTCTTTTATTTAAGCTTACTTCGGGTTTCTCTTATTACCGATTCTGAACCGTCTTAGAACTGTGATGCGTATGCGCAGAAGGAAATATGAAGACATTATTTCATTTGCGCATGCGCTGCGGAGTTCTAGGACGGTTCAGAATCGGTAATAACAAGAACCCGAACAAAGCTTTAGTTCCTCTAGGCTCGGATCCGCTAACATACGGCTGGCACTCCCTACTTAGCATTGGGCTACGATCGCGCTGGCCGATCCGTCGCCGTCGCATATTATTATATATCGGTCACAGTCTCGATCCCGGAATAGGACCTGAGGAACTAGTTCTTTGAGAAACCGGGAACTAGTTCCTTTCATTCTGAGGTCGGAATAGTTCCTTGGGACTAGTTCGTTCACGAACTACACACCTCTAGTCATTTAGTTGATTGCAGCGGCGAAGCTTCCATTGATGCGGGTGATGCGTCGCATCCCTTCAAAATATTGTCAAATAGATCCTGAGGAACTAATTCTTTGAGAAACCGGGAACTAGTTCCTTTCATTCCGGGGTCGGAATAGTTCATTCACGAACTACACACCTTAGTCATTTCTCTGGTCATTTGGTTGATTGCAGCGGCGAAGCCTCCATTGATGCGGGTGATGCGTCGCATCCCTTCAAAATATTGTAATACGTTTTTATTTAAAAAAGTCACCTTAGATCTGCTATAATAAATTAAAATTCTCAGTAAATTTATTAAAATAATTAAATTCAATTTCAATTAGTTAATGTGTATTTGGTCGAGCTTTATAGATAATGATAAGGCCTACGCTAAACGCTAAAAATAAAAATATCTCGACAGCGCGATGATGCGACTGTCCTTGTTACATCTCGAACGCAAGCCGACGTTCGAACTTTCCGGACACTATTACCGTTCGCTGTTTTAGTCGGTGGGTGATGCGATTTTTGAAACACATGGCCGTATAAATTAAAAAAAATATCGTCGCGCGTCGCATGACCGATTATGGGTGCGGCTGTAAAATAGAAATAATTTTGCAATCATTCTTCAGTTCTATGGTGTGTTTAGAAAAATTAAAAACTATCGAAGAAGGACCTCCAAAATATATTTTTGAAGATTAATACTAAGTTATTAGTAAAAAAAATTAAAAAAATATTATAAGGTACTCGAGTTATAATTGCGAAAATTGCTTTTATTTATTAAGAAACGCGGATTATTAAGAAACATTGGATTTAATTGTTGGCAGACATTTTTCTAGTCGCTAAAATGCTGACAGACAACGCGAAAGAGGCATATGAAATTTTAAAAATTATTAAAAAATTAAATTTAAAGAATGACAAAAATTATGGCATACATGCATGCCGATTGGTGGAATGTCATATTTATTTATTTTAAAAGCCGTATGCAAAAGGGCAGACAAAAAGATCCTGGCTAAATCAGCTGCAGACAGTTATCAAAAGCGCAATATTACTCTAGCGCTTTCAGGGAACGCTCGCTGCCTCATCCATTTAAGTATAGATAAATCATGTATACGATTATATTATAAATATATTTTTTTATTATTTCAAAACACATATCATATAATATTTACTATTGTGGTTTTAAGGGTGATATATTTCGACCCCCGGAACACGTCTATGAGTTGTTTTTTCGCAAAATAGATGTAGAAAATCGTGCCTTTTTTTTAATTTTCTTGTATATTTCAGAAAACTTTTTAGAACTGTCTGTTCACCGCAAATTTACCCACGGCCCACGGTATAATTATTTCTTAACCTACCATGCTTATTATGGCTTTACTCTATGGCTACGACACTAAATGAATGGATGCAAATACAGAAAAAAAACAGGTGGCTCACAAAATTATTTAAAAATAAATCAATTTTCATTAAGTAAATTTTTAAGTTCGTTTTCAGTGTAAGATTTAAGGCCTATTACGATAACACGATGGAAAGCAAAATTATTTGGTTAAGATAAATTAAATAAAAAAATACTCTGTTAAACTAGGTATAGGTTGTTTTATGTTAAAAAGTTAAATCATGCATATTTTTACCTTATTTGTGAAAATAATAGACTATATTATATTTTTAGAAACCTCATAATAAGGCAAATAAAATAAAAAAAGTAATATACAGGTTGTCCCGTTAAAAAAAACATAAGTTTGAGCTATATTTTGGAAATGACAGCTCCCAGCGAAAAACTAGTTACGTCACTGGATTCTACGTGAAAAACTCTACGGGATTCAGTTTTCGTCTTTTCGATAAGTTATTATATAACCGAGATAATATGAAGTGGATCGGAAATGCAACATTTTCAATTTCGCCCTGTATTATGTCACGTAGTTTCATAAAAAAGTAACACTGTGATGTGAAAACCGCATCTTTTGTATCTCTACTCATAAACGAGAAACCCAATAAAACACACAGAAATGGGACATCCTGTACAAATAAACAGCTATACAGGGTCCGGCAAAAGTGCGTCGGGCATCTGTAACCCCTAGAATAAAAAACTTGAAAATTTTGTTTAAGTGCAAACCTAAAGTTTCCGGAAAATATTTTAACTTCTATAGGGTGCCTCAAAAAAGTGTGAGTGGATCTGGATGACTTTTTAAAATGGAACATCCTGTATATTATTGCATTTTTGGCTTCCTTTCAGATCACTTTATATAATCCTGATATGAGTAAATCTATTTCGATAATTTCAGAGATATTAATAAATAAATAAAAATTATATATTTTTCAGCCTTTCTTAATTTTTTTTTTAATAATACAAGAACTGTCCTGAAATCAACACTGTATTAGATATTTTCTTTAGATGGTCTGTACTAGTTTGCTATAAATATGGAAATTGTAAATCATACAGGATGTTCAAAATTCTACGCCAAACTTTCTAAAATATACAATAATTTTTCTTTGATTTTTAAATTGGACACCCTGTATATTATTTCTTCAATAGAAGGAGAATTAAAAAACGAACATTTTTTGCATTTAAAATATTTCAAAATCTTTAGCGGTTACGCAGATATTCCCGGTTTTGTATTTCATATGACATTTTCCACAGTAAATTTTTATCAAAGCCACCCAGTGATTTTTCCCTCGTATTTTGCATTGAAAGCGCCATATGAAATAATACTAATACTGCGTGTATCCGAAAAACCATTAAAAATTTTAAAATACTTTAAATACAAAAAATGTTAATTTATTAATTCCCCATCAATAAAAAAAATAATATACAGGCCATTTAAAAAAACGAAGTAAAATTATTTTATATTTTTGAAAGTTTGGCGTAAAATACTGAACATCCTGTATGATTTACGATTACCATATTTATAGCAAAGTAAGAACAGACCATTTAAAGTAAATATCTAATATAGTTTTGATTTCAGAACAGTTCTTGTATTTTTTTTAAGAAGGGTTGAAAAATATATATTTTTTATTTATTTTTTAATATCTCTGAAACTATTGAAATATATTTACTCATATCTTAGGATTATGTAAAGTGATCTGAAAGGAAGCCAAAAATGCAATAATATACAGGGTGTTCCATTTAAAAAAAAGTCATCCAGATCCACTCACACTTTTTTGAGTCACCCTATAGAAGTTAAAATATTTTCCGAAAATACATCCTGGTACATAGTTTAGGTTTGCACTTAAACAAAATTCTCAAGTTTTTTATTTTCTAGGAGAGCCCGACGCACTAGATTTTAAAAGAAATAAAAATTTTTGTTCAAAAAAAATTGGGGTGGGCCACCCTTATCACTTAGGGGTATAAAAAATAGATAACAACCTATTCTCACATCTACTGAATATACAGATATAAAATTTCACCAAAATCGGTTTGCATTGTCCGGTGATACACCGCAAGGGTTAGTCGGTCCACTTTAGAGGTGGGAATTCTAGTTCCTTGGGAGGAACTAGTTCCTTAGTTCTAGTTCCTGCAGAGGAATAGTTCCTTGAACTAGGTCTTTAGTTCACAATAGTTCCCGACTAATATTGACATCCCTCTTGCTTGCTAATGCGTTTCGTTGTCACTCAGAACTATTCACAGTATGATCTGTATAATTTTTATAATGTACGGAGATATAACGAGACGTGTAATTGTGTATGTAAAAAACATATAGGTAAGTTTTATTGCAGATAAAAAGAATTAAAAAAAAAATTCAAATCAAAATTTAAAAAACTATATCACAAATCAATTGGAGCAAATATTACAAAAATTTTACGAAAAATTGCATTTTTCCTCACTTCAAGCTTTTTGTTTTTGTCTAAAAATTCAGAATATCTACTTCGTTTTATAAGATATTTCTTAA